AATACAAAGAGAAAGAGACATCGATACTCACCAGCGGCGGCACACCCAGCAACAGCAAGCCTCCGTTGCAGCCGTCCAACAGCTGAGCACCACGGAGAGGCGAGCAAGAGAGGCTGCGGTGCCGCAGCAGAGACAGACCTAGCTAAGGCAAAGGTCATGGCAGGCAAGGTGTGTGTGATGCAAATGGGTTTCCCTATATACACCGTGGCTATTTATTTTCTTCTATATTATAAGGTTTTCAGTTACACCGGTGGTCAGAAAGCGCGTACGCTATGGTAGAACGGTCAAACAGAGTTGAGTGGTGAGAAATCAATACAACCTAAACACGTGGGTTTGTAGTCACAAGCAACTTCTCAGGCTTTCCATACATGTCATTATTTAGGGCTTTAGGGTGATGAGAGACTTACTCAGCCACTGTTCTCAAGTACATAAATGTCATCATCCTGCTGCCTTTTATGCTCGTATATATTGCCTCTTTGGCCCCATCCTGTTCTCACTCTATTGGTAATTTTCATAACCGTATGAGCACTGTCATCTCTGCATTTCAAAAATGAAGTCAGAGTCATTGCAGCTCAACAGAGAAAGTGAACTTTACTATCTTTTAGAGTTAGTTTGTGTTTCTTGTAAGATGAAACCTTGCATCAAAATAAACTCTGTTTAAACAATATGCCTTGGTTATTGTACTAAATTTAAACAATACTTCATAGTCTAAGCGCTACAGAATCCTTGCATCCAAATAAACAGAAGAAGATTGAAGTAAACACATAACAAGAAACTTGATCGTGATAATACCTGTGCAGAAGGGAATGCCAATCACTTTCAGCATACTTGCCATGCTCATGCTTCCGGCTTCCAGTAGTAACCACACCAGAAACAGTAGCATGACCAACATTACCATCTGCCATTTCCATCATCTTTTCCGACAGTATATCAGCATCCTGCTTCTTTCCCGTTTCACTTAGTACATCTATGACAGGCATGAATGTGGCTGGATCAAATGAATATCCTTTAGCTATAAACAACTTGAGAAGACTATGCGCTTGGTCTGCCTCACGAACATCGCAGAGCCCCACGATGATCTGCTTATATGGGAAACTTTGGATGGAGATTCTCATTTCAAGTGCTGTTTCAAGAATGTTCTTGGCTTCTATCCACCTAGCATAAGTGGAGAGTTCGGCGCACATTAGGCAATAGAGCACTTCCTTCTGACCACATGTACTCAAAGCAACATCAAATACCCTCTGAGCTGCAGAGAAATCTGCAATCTTACAAAAAGCCTTGATCAACAAGCCAAAAGAAGTTACATTAGGAACTATTTCATTCTGCAACATTTCATCTAACAAAGGCATTGCTTTGTTCACCATTCCTTGTTCACAAAAGGATTTTATCAAGCTATTGTAGGTCATGACGTTAGAAGAGATCCCCTTCTCCTTCATTTCACTCATCAATTCAAGGATTTCATCCGACATGTGTTTTTCTTGAAATCCCCAAATCAACAAGTTGTATGACCTTGTGCTTGGGTTGAAACCTTTCTTTTCCATGTCTCTCAGAACCTTGATGGCTGAAGATGTCTTGCCATGCTTGCAATAACCGTGAATAAAGGTATCATATATAACTGAATCAGGAGAAATATCTTTTGCTATCATCTCAAGTAATCGTTTCTTTGCTTCTTCAAACCTTCCTTCTTTGCACAATGCATTCATCAAAGTTGTGTAAGTGATTCGGTCAGGTAGACATTTTTTGCTGAGGAAAGAATCACTCGCTAAACTTGAAAACGAACTACCCAATCTGCCAAGAGCCAAACTTCCTTCATTCCACATTTCATCGACAATGTCCATAGCCATATCTAATTTACTGCTTCTGCATAGTCCATCAATAATGATATTGCAGCTTGTTGTATCCAAGCTATATCCTTTCTCACCCATCCTCTCCAACAACCTTTCTACCTCTGTAGTCCTACCAGCTTTCCACAAACTCTCCAGCAAAACATTGTAGGTGAACAAATTTGGGGCACACCCCTTCTGCGCCATCTCATCAAGGATCCTGTTGGCAGCGACAGTGTTTCCCTTCGAGCAATAAGCACGGAGCAAACTAGTATAAGTCACAACATCTGGTGTCATCACACCACTCCTCACAAAATCCTCAACTCTCCTTACATCAAACGATTTGCCCTCCTTACACAATCCATCAACAATGATGTTGTATGTATAGCTATTAGGCTGGACACCCTCATGAGCCATCTCGCTCAGCAACTCTTGCGCCTCTCCGATCTTACCATTCCTCACCAATCCTGACAACCAGCGGTTGTAACTCTCGACCTTCCTCAGGAACCCACCACATCTCATAATGTCCACCAGCACCCTTGCCTCATCCACCATCCCGGCATCACAGAAACCGCTGAGCATCACATCAAACGTCACCTGATCAGGCCTCGGCAGACCCGGCTTCAGGGCCTCCTGCATATCATTGAATATCATGTATGCCTCCAGCACCCGGCCAGCCTTGCAGAGCGCAGAGATCCTGCCATTGAACGTGACCACATTGGGCGCGAGCCCCTGCGCCCGCATCCGTTCCACCAGCCTCTCGGCCTGGTCCACCTGGCCCTCCCGGCAGAACCCCGCCACCACCGTGTTGCAGACCACCAGGTTCATCCTCGGCATTTCGTCGAGCACCCCGAGCGCATCGGCGCTCCTGCCCGCGCGGCAGTATCCTCGCGCCAGGATCCCAAAGCTGAAGTCGTTCCTGGCGGGCATCGCGTCGAACACCCTGCGTGCGAGGTCCATGCGGCCGGCGGCGCAGAGCGCCTGCAGCAGCACGTTGCGGGTGAAGACGTCGGGGGCGGCGCCGGAGAGGAGGAGATCCTTGTAGAGCGACTCGACGAGGTCGAGGCGGGACTCCCCGAGCGCGGCGAGGAGGAGGCGGTTGTAGACGGGGGTGGGCGGCGGGCGGAGCGCGGGGCCGGGGAGCGCGCGGAGGGAGCGGAAGGCGGAGAGGGAGAAGTCGAGCGGGACGCGCGGGGAGGCGGATGCGGCGGAGAGCAGCGCGAAGAGGTGCGGGGCGGGG